GTCTGAGAAATAATTATTCGTTTGTACGTAAGGATGCAAAGGATTTTTCACGATCGGGTAACTAATCTTTGAATGCCTAGCTATATAGAAATAGCATACTAGCGTGTGGCATATCCAACCTAATTCGATTATTTATAACCACGCATGAAAATGAATATATTGCAAACATTTTTTTTTATCGAAACGCCAAACATTAAGAAATATAGCAGCACCAAGCAAATATATTATATATGTATCTTTATTGATAAAAAAGTTAATAAACAATGGAAAAATCATTGGAAAAGCACTAAAAAAGCCGGGTATGCCATGTTGAAAAGGCGTTTAAAGGCTAAGACTAAAAAATATTTTGCTATTTTCAGTTACTTATTTTGCTCATAAAAATTTCATTTCCATTAAAACGACAAAATATATCCATATTTTCCTTGTACAATTAATAGAGATAAATAGAACTAAACTTTATCACCTATGCGCGCGACGACATTAAGAAGCACATAGGTTTAAAGGTCAAAATATCTTTTATCACATTTATATTTTCATCAAGATGTATATCATAAAAACGAGAGATATAATACCGCGAATTCTTGCAAGACTATTAGAGAGAACGAGTTATATCCTTTTGAAAAGCTGCACGGCTGTAGATCTCCGCGCGCGAACTTAAAAAAATTATGATATATCGCGGCGTATTGTATCCGTTTTTATACAACTGCAAGTAGTTCTGGCAACACTATCTCCCGCTTTTTTTTTCTCGCGGGATAACATTGTACGTACGGATTCTCTGCAATAAAGCCACGCGACGACTCCGCAGAGACAACGGCGCGCGGCGGTCACTTTTAATCGCCCGTTTATCATCGCGTGTCGTACCGCCTCTCCATTCGGGTTTTACTCGCCAAGTTGGCGAGCTTACGATACCGCCGAATGTAGTAATTTCGATAATAACGGGCAGATTAGACTTGAATATCCTGCGTGATCGTATTATTAGACAATTACATACATTCCATATTGTGTTAATACGAGATATTAAAATCGTCCCTATATTGTAATTGCGAAAAGGATCAGAGCCTTTCTCGTATGTTCTACTTCAGGCTGATTGTTCAACCGTTGCTGAATCTCCTTCTAATAGCCGTCGAGTTGTTTTAATTCGACTGTGTACATTTATCTTTTTAAGCGACTCTAACTCAATTGATCCCATTCTCGCCTTCTTTTCTCCTTAATTCCCATTCTCCACTATTCTCTCTCTCTTTCCTCTATTCTCTTTTTTATTTAATCATGTCTTGTATCACGATACATTTAATGGAACATGAAGACGCAAATTAACATAATAAAAAGAATTTTATTTTGTAATGTCTGTTAAACCGGTATATAATTGACATTTTTTTCTTTATATTTCTTTTTCAATAAAAAGAAAATTGAAAGCCAAAAAAGGAGCATATAAAAATGATATAAATGTAATTATTCGCTCATAAAAGAGAACAATGTGTAATACGTTTTGGCTAAATTATTAAGTCTTTGTAAGCTAAGAGTAAAAGGTCGTGCAATAAAAATATATTAATAATTTATACAAACGAATAAGAACAGATGGAGAATAAAAATAAACGTGTGATAGACAATAAACTGAACAAAATTGTAAAGTCAACAACAAGCTACATCCAAGGACTTTAACTCACTGCAAGATAACGATATAACTGTTTTATTTATTTTACTAGTTCCTTTATTTTTATTATGTGTGTCTGACCTCGGATGCAGCTCTTGTTGACTTTATAATTTATTGTTTAACACGCATTTATTTTCATTCTCTATCTGTCCTTATTCATTTGTTTAACTTACATTTTTATTACACGATGATTTAACTTTTTATAATTATTCGAAATGTACCATACTATTGTTCTTTTTTGTGAGTGAATAGATCAAAATTTGCATTATAAATAATTGTGTTATGAATTATTTATATTATCATCTTTATGCTCGTCTTTTGGCTCTCAATTTCCTTTCTGTTGCTTTGTAAAAATCGAGCTTTGAGTTTATTTCTTTTTTTTATTTAAATTCGTTTAAAATAAAAAGCTATGAAGAGTCAATTGATTCAAACATCGATCTTTGTGCAAATAGATTTTTTAATGCTTTTACCAATTGCTTAAATAAATCGTTATGAGACAAATAACGCAATTTACGATGTTGGTATCTGTGTCCTGAATATTTCATACCACGCTGCCATGTTCGGATATATCCTACTCAATTCAGGCATATGAATAGTATTAGCTACGTGCACAGTTAACGAGTTGACGCCCGATGCATAAATAATGGGCTGGCCGATTAATAGCGCGATCGTTCGCTTAATGATCTAAGTTAATAAGAGATAAACACTGACAGAGCAATATCACGAAACTGTTGATGGCCATGCCTATTTCCGAATAATGCCATTGTTGAGGGGATTTGGTAATTATTTAATTCTAATTAGCAATAATCCTTTGTTATTCCTATTTGCAATAAAACATTAAAAACTAAATCTGAATTATATAACTAGTCAAAATTAATCGAGCTTCTAAGAATTGTGTCTAGATGTATTATAGAATATTCCATTAATAGTCAACATATACGTATATACTTTTGGAACGAATGTTTTATCGCAGATGAAACGAGATTTAATGACAAAAAAAATTAAGCTTTCTTTTAATCTTTTCACTATTGCTAATTTTTAAAAATATTAAAATTTTCAAAAAAATATTCATATGATATTAAAAAATTCTGTCAATATGTCATTTAATAAAAATTCTTTACATTATAATTATTAATTGCTGGCTTTCTAATAAAATCTCAATAAGCAGTTTTTATTCATATGCTGTCCCTCTATTGTTCGTACGAATATTCGCTGCAATTAAAAAAATAATACGCTGCATTTCCTCTTTGCGATTATAACGAGTTATGCAGCTGCTCCAAATCCAAACGCATTTTTGACGATAATGAGAACACGAGATAAAAAATACGGTCCGTAAAGCGTACGTGGATTGAGAAAGCGGAAAGAGATGGTTATTGCGACAGAGATGGTTAGTGTCTTTAATCACGAGATACACAATGCGGGAGGTGTTACTTTTACGGTGTCGCAGATAAATTGTCGGCGTCGAGGGGTATCTGGACAGTGCGGTCATTTTTGTCCGTACGTGACTACTTTCTGAGATACTTGACCGTATAAGACCAGGATCGTAAGTTGCGTCGTGAGAACATAGTATCCTTCTCTAGGTCGCTTCCAAACGGCATTTATTGAAAATTTATCGTTTTATTCTCTCGGAATTTTATCGATGTTCGGTTTGCCGTCATCAACTACTTGTCGTGTCTGCGTAGATACAAGTAAACACGTATCGATTTCTATTACGAAATATTATACTATCTGTCGAATAAGTATTCGCAATTCTCGTAATTAAATTATACTAAATGTTTTTGCTTATTTACATATTTTGAGAATTACTCATGAAAAATCGGAACATTGAAATTCGAAATCTTATAATAAAAAATTCCGTCAATACAATACATCATTTAATAACAATTCTTTGCATCATAATTATGGTTTAATTGTTGTATTTTCAATAAAATCTTAATAAACAACTTTAAACTTTTTATTTACATTTCTATATGATAAACAAGTATAATGATAATTGGCTCTTTGAACTATATTAAAAATAATAAATAATGAGCATATATAGGCCAAATGAAGAGAATATGAGATATATGAATATGAGAAGTTACATCATAGCTTCTCATATTCTGTATGAAGAGAATTCTCTTCGTATTCTAAATGAAGAGAATATGAGATATAGAATATGAGAATGGCTTTTTGAATTATGTCAAAAATAATAAACAATAAGGAGCATATAGACCAAATGAAGAGAATATGAGATATAGAATATGAGAAGCTACATGACAACTTCTCATATTCTAAACTTTCCATTTAACTAAATCGTCTTCTATCGATGTCAATAATTAATAATTTTTTATATAGACAGAAATTTTGGTATTCAAAGTAAAATGAAAGTTTGCACATGCAATAAGATAAATGCGGTGCATATTCGTTAATTCTGAATAAAATTAAATTATCGAATGAGATGTTTTAACGATATCAGCACGAGTAATTTATGTGCACGTCTCGCACGTGCAAAGGTATCTTCTTTTCCGTATCAGTGTGCTACACGTGGCGCTGCACAGCGCCGGTGTATCCCGGCGGTGCCGCTTCCTCGCGCTAACATAATGAATCCATACCATGCACCGGACGCGTTACAGGTCGCATCGTGAGGGTCAAACGCACGTGTCCCCACGTGTGTGCACACGTCGCGCTAAACATACAAATACAGTGGCATGTTGTCCTCCCTTCGCTCTCCCGTTCTTCGCGATCGCGTTGTTGAAAACGGCACATTTCGTAATTGAAATACCAGTCTATACGCAGCAAAGAGAGGCACATTGCGGCGATACGCACCTGCGTATATGTAACGACACGCGAATAGACGGGGAAAGATAATAACGGATAAACAGTGCGTTAATACGCAATACATGCAGATACGACGTGGACATATTTGTCATTACATCGGGATGGACCATGTTTGTTGACATAAGTATGTTTTACATGAAGTTACATCACAGTTTGATTGCATAAAATTCTAAAGGGATGCGCGGTATATTAGATTAAAACATTAACACGTACCTAATTACTTTTAACAGGATAATATAGTGCAAAACTTTCTCAGACGCGAAAATTATTCTATTTCGAAGTGCTCTTATGAAGTTATCTATATATTTAAATTCGAGACGGTTCATTCCCAATATCGTTCCAGATACAATTACGGTTTTTTGAAATAGAATATATTGTTATTTTATAACATTGAAACTTACGTGCTTTATGAGCTTAAGGGGATCCTAAAGCCGCCTGTATTACCGATTAAATCGTAATTTTTGTATAACAAATACTTTTTTCTTTTTCACAGATTAGAAAATCTTTTTCCAAGATTAAAGTATACACATTAATAAGTATTTGTGAAGTGGAGTTTATGTCGAAAACGACAAAAAATTTCGAAATTGAAAAATCTTAAGAAAAATTTTTTGTCGTTCTCGACATAAACTTCACTTCACAAATACTTATTAATGTGTATACTTTAATCGGTAATACAGACGGCTTTAGGATTCCCTTAATGACATAAAAAATGTAGTGACAGAAAAATGTGACCCGTTTATCTAATTAGATTTAATAAAAAAAGAATTTCTCCTTTATCCTGTAACATTAATTTAATCTCTGAGTATTTAATAATAAAGAGCTCTTTCGATGATACGGTACATATCTATACGCGCGTGTCTGCATATGTGCATTCCGGGAGCGCAAATTCGTCGATATAGGGATATAACGAGGGTGAACAAGAAAGAGAGCTATAGTCGAACAATGTCCGGTATGGATAGGCTCGTGCGGCTTCCATTACCTCCACTGACAATTAATAATTACCCCATATCGCTGATGATATCCCGGAATGCATTTTGGCTCGTAGAATTGCGACCTATGGCCTTCCTCGTTTCCTCCCTTCCTCTCTCACCCCTAGGCATCGTTGCAAATCTCTGTCTTTCTCTCCTCCTCCTCCCCCCTCCTCCTCCTCCCTCTCTCTCTCTCTCTCCCCTCTCCTCCTTCTCTTCTATTACATCCGTTAGATCACAGCGGGCTGCAAACGCGGCACAGCGCGTGCATCTGGACGATTCAGTTCGTATCGGTTTGTAGTAACGTTTCACCGAACGGCTCTGAACCATTTTGTCCAACCCTCCAATAACTGGAGGTGCATTAATGCAGCCTAGCGAGAAGATAACGCCGTTGCATCGACGGGCACGATGGGCACAGCGCTATCGATCCTATCGACCGATGCGCGAGAAGTTAATAGGGAAAGCACAGGAGACTGCTATACACCAGCAGCAGCAGCAGCAGTAGCAGCAGCAGCAGCAACAGCGGCAGCGGAACCGTATTTTAAGGGAGGCGGTGGTTGGCGAATAGGGGACAGAAAGGGGGTGATGCTGCCTACCGTTTGCATCGCCGCCGGCAACGTAGCTGCGTAGTCAGAATCAGTGCTACATCGCGCTACTGGACACATGGATTCGCGATTCTATAATGTGGATGGAATTGCCCAGCCTTTGGTTGGGAGGAGGAAAAATCCATCCGTTATTATCGTATATACGTTTCGTAATTTTCCAATAAATAGGCTTACAAGGAAAATCAAATCGTGTCACATGATAGTCGATATTTTCAGCGAAATCATGTATTATCATTAGGACATGAAATCAGGAACTTTCTACGATGTCACGAAAATTCATTTTTGCCAAACGTATAATGGTAAATCAATCCGAAGGTAATTTAGTTACGTACGATATTAATAAATTGAAAGTTTCCTATAGCACATCGTAAATATCTGCAGAAATTCATTTGTGCTAAATATAGTATAACAAATGAATTTACTTTATTTATCCTTGATTTGAATCATATGCACAAAATGCACAATTCTATATCCAAAAGAAAGTCCAAGTGATACGCATAATTTGTTGTTTGTTGGTCGCATTTATCAAGATTAATGGCTCCGACAATGAGATTCTCCCCAGTCCTTTTAATAGAGAAAACGAATTAGTTTGTGCTGAAAGGACCACGTCCAGGAAACCCAGCCTTACTTTGGAGTTACATTCATGATTTATGCGCAATATACGCGAGAAATCATATCTATAAATACGATAAACGTAACTACCATAAAACATTGTAGCTATATATCGAGTGCATAACGAAATTACTGTTAATATAGAGAAAATTTGGAGATCCAATCGAGTAAAATTCACTTGCGATATTAGGAGAAATTTACACATAAGCAGGATAATAGGACACGGGGATAGAGCTCGCGGAATCTCAAATCTTCAACAATGTGCAGCTCGCATTGGAATCCGAATGCGGATACATTGCGTATTATCGGTGCAGGACAAAACGATCGCTCGCACGCATCTATTCAGTCAAGTATGCAAACCGATAATTGAATGAAAAGCACAATATGATGACGTCTCGTTAATAAATATCTGAAACTACTATTTTCATATGAAAGAAGATAATATTTCTATTGCATTATTTTTAGAATTAATACAATGATATCTGTATATCTAACATCACAACTGATTGGAATTGCGCAAATTTACGAATAACAAATAACGAGAAAAATTTGATTCAATAAATAATACTTTATTTGAGTGAAAAATTTTTTGTGTGTATACAAATAAATATTGTACTTTTTAAACTGTACATCGAAAAGCTCCTAAAATAAGAAATAATTAATCTAATCTAATCGTGAGAAGATAATTTAATCAATGAAATAATTCTAATAAATATAAAAAATAAATGATAATTTTTGTCATTTTGCCTCGAATGTAATACATATTTATCGACAGAAATCTGTGTACAATAATCATGCATTACAACTCACGATTTTATCGAATGAAAATGCAGACAGAGAAAAATACGAAATGCGTGCGTTATGCTACGTATCAAGGCGAGTACACGTGTACTTTATCCGTTGAAAATGTCCGTACCACCTCGACAAATTTGCATCCGTTTTTTTTTCTCTCATGCAGCACTCCAAGATATTTATTGTTTTAATTTACCACACCCGTGTTTAATTATAGAGAGTTAATTTTAACTGGCACGTCGCATAACGAGCATGATTGCACCGACTTTTACTGTAGTTTTTTTTTGTATTTACAGAAACATAACGATTATTTACGAATCTGAAAAATGCATGGATACATAAAAACAAACGTGTCCCAGTTTAAAAGTGTCTCTGCGAAACTTCAATACTCTGTTCCAAAAATCTAATTGTTTCTGTATTATATATTAATTTATTTAGACCTATATAAGATACAATAAATAACCAGTAAATCGTATATTGTTTCTAAACTAATTAATAAATACGTTTATGAATCGAAAAAGAACAAACAATGCACAATGTAGGTTTACTATTTATATTTTATAAGTATATTTTACAAATATAAAATGTTTTGCAGCCATTGTTGTAAGAAATATTTCAAGATCTAAATATTCCTCAAAAATATTATCTTAGAACAGAGCAGTACGGGATCTAAGACAACGGTTAAATGCATCTTCTTGTTCCTTACTGGTTCGTGTTTAACATCTAAAATTGGTGAAGACTGTTCATTAACAGAGACCATGTGACTCCGTGCCAAGAAATAGTCGGTCTTTGTTCGGTGTACTGTCTCCACTATCGAGAGTTTAGCACCAGTGCGAGAACACCAAACAGAGGAGACAAGAGAAAGCAGAGGATATAGAAACTCCTCAGGGAAGTGAAGCAAAAATAAAAGAAGAGATCGCGCAGAATAGAAACGCAGCTGCGCGAAGCGAAAATGTAGATCGAGATAGATACGACTGGTTTGTTTTCATCTAATTAAGCGCCATTCACGAGTTTTGGCATCGTTACAACTTGAAGCATGTGCATTAATTACGGTAAATTAACATATTCTTGAAACGAACGTGTAACAGCTTTTTTAATTTAACATACCCCTCTAAATATTTATTCAATTTTCGTTTCGACTGTTATCTAAATTCAATTTCGTTTGACTAATATCTAAATACAAAAATATAACTACTATTTTTCTACCTTCTTCAAGGAAAAACTTTTCATGTTATAAAGTAAAAAGTATTTTGCATGACGTGAGTCCAAGTGATATAAAGTGATATTACATCTGCCATCATATGACATCATAGGACTTTTCATTTTTATTTATTATATTCTATATTTTCATTTTTCCTTTGCATGCGCAATATTAAATTTAAGAAAGACTAAACATATACATATATATATATATATATATATATATGCATGTCAATGTTCCGAAAGAAATTAAATGGTATTACGATTTAAATTCGAAATAAAATAATGTTATTCTTTACTATTATCTTTTAATAGTTACGCTTGACAAATATTTATTGTGAATATTCAAGATTGCGTGTGACGTTCAATAAATTACGTTTGTAATCGCTACGCACAATCCTCTTTACGAGCAAAATGAAAGTAAATCAGCTCAGAAAAGTACGGAGAAGTGATGAATTAAAGAAAGCGAAAGGAAAGTGACGGCACAAGAAGGCGCAAATTACGTACGGCCAAAGGGTGTGCAGAAGAATGACACGCAAGCGGCGTGGAATCTAATGAAGGTGAAGAAGAGACAAATGAAAAGCGGAAAGAGAGACAGAAGAGAGCGGCGGTAGACACAGATGAAGAAAAAGAGCAAGTGTACGATACCGAAATAGCCGGACATTCCGTTAACTCGGCTCTCTGCAGCTACTCGAGACAGAGAATAAAAGGGTCGAAGGAAGGAAAGCGGCGTTCGTCTGTCGTGTTTCTCGCCGGTCCTACCTCGTCTAGGAGCGTTTCAATTACGAAATCCTGCGAAATCGCCCGACGATTCTAGCAGAGTGTTCGTCTACCCGTTATATCCGTCGCTGTGGTGCCCTCTTTGATTCTATTTCTCTTTTTCTTTCCTTATACCATCTCTCCTTCTCCTCCAATTTTCTCTTCCTTTTGTTTCAATCTTTCTCTCTTTCTCTCTCCCTTATCGTGTTGCTGAAACGGCTAAATAAAAGAGGTACGTCTATTGTTTGTACGACACAGAGTAAACACCGGTAGCTGCAAAAAACCAAAGGCAAGGCTCCCGGATTGCAGGGCTTCAGTACTCGGATATTTATGTCCCTCTTTACATTCACGTGTGGCCATTAGTTGACAATTCGACGGCAATTTTCAAACAATTCCAATATTGCTACGAGAAACACACACCGTGTTTCGCGATTGCTCGATTCAATGAGAATCGCAATCGACCGGCAGATTAAAAACCGAGCAGTTCCGAAGGCATTTATTATTAAAATGTATCTTAAATACGTGAAAATTGACGTAATTTTATTAACTAGATCAAACTAAATTTTTTTTATAATTTGACATTATTATAGAGGAAGGTCACCTATACTGACATAGGTCTCTTAAATCGACATCCCTTTATTTCTTAAAAACCTTTGC